AATCTTTGGCATTTGTGGGCGACAGGTGAAGTTGTATCTGTTCCACTTCCACGTACGGTCATATCAATATGGCCTCTTCCATTTGGTCTACTTCTTCAGCAAGCTGCTGAAATGAATCCATCCTCATATGTGCCATTTGCTTCTGCTAGCCCCACCCTTAGTTCTCGTGAGATGCGCCAAAGAAAAGAAGTTGGGAATATTTCACCACCAAACTTCCACTCCCCAGTCGCACATGACCTTGTTAGTAAAAGAGACATGTCTTACATGTCTTCCCATCTGATTCTAAGAGACCCATTAGAGGAACCTGGGGTAAATGATCTCATACGTTTAGATTTTCCTTGTCCACTTTATTCCTACTTCATGCCAGTCTTGTTTTTGTTCCGGGACCTGAATTATTTCTTTGTTGTTATCTCAACAGCACATAGGTTATATTAGTTTATGCAATGTTTGGTTATATTTTGCATCTGATAACTCATCTAACTAACTTTTCAGCCAACGTATATAGAAGAGAGGGGAAAGTTGAACATGATGAAGGACTACGACGAGAGAACAATTTGGACAAGTGACCGTCTTCCTCTTATGACCTCATATAACAAAGGTTTGTCATTTTCTTCTCCGGTCAGGCTGAGCTTTCCACATCCCCTTCTTATTTTTCATTGAAGTACTCTGTTTTGGGGGTTTTAGGCAAGATGCAACATTCTGTGTGGGCAGCCGAATTCATAGAGTCTAACCTTGAAGCTTCTGCTTCATGTTCAAGCAGTGTTGTTTCTGTTTTCCCAAAGCGAATATCTTTTCGCAGAATATGGCAAGCCAAAGGTGCGAAGAAAGCTGCATCTAAGGTGAGAATTCTATACAATGTTCTAGTTGTTGGTCATGCTATCTTTCCTTGAAGAAGATTGTTTATGTATTTTGGTAGGCTGCTGGACATGTTTTAGGATCTATTTCTAACATGTGGTGAGTAATCCATGGCTATTTTCTGCTTCTAACTAAATCAAGGCTTGAAAGATTTTCTAGTGAATGTTTTGGGAACCTCTACCTAAGCGATGCTCATTAAATGCACAATTTAAGACCTCATAGTTTTCTTGGATATGATAGCTTGCTCAGTTTTCTTGTTCTCTGAACATTCTAAGTCACCTCTTGACTGCCCGTGCTACCAATGCTGAGTTTGCTCTTTGTATTTTCGAGTTTGTTTTGTGGAATGTGTTTTCTTTTAAATATATGGATATTGTACTGTTGTACTTTCATTGTTCTTTCTTGACTGTGAATAAAAGAAAGATTTGTGGGCTTTGTTATTGAAGTTTTTACTCTTCTTATTGATTATTCACAAGTGCCTCAATATATTACAGGTCTTTTTGGCAACCGATGATGCAGTCCCAGTAATTTATTTTCTGATTCAAGAACAAAAGAAGTTGTTATCGGTGGGACTCCAAACCGTTGAGATCAATAACGAAATTTTGTTTGACGTTAAGCCTGATATAAGCTGGAGTGTCTCTGCAATTGCTGCTGCACCTGTTGTTGTGACACGTTCTCAGTAAATTCCTGTTTACAATGTTCTTTTTGCCTCTCTCTGTCACTGTAAATGAGACTATTTCTGTTGTCATGTAATGAGTTTGTACAATGCCTTGTTCCATTTCCTTGCAGAGTGAAAAGAGGGCTGCTTCCACATTTAGATATCATTGTTTTATCTCCAGAAAATGACCTCTTTCTTTATGTAAGTTCTTGTTATGTACCAGGCCGTTTTGTTAAATATCTTCCTAATGTAGTATGTTGAATTGATATATCTACATTATTTGTAGTCAGGAAAACAATGTCTCTGTAAATATGTACTGCCTTCATTGTTGGGGGAAAGTCTTGTTTCTGGTGATAGAGAGTCTGCAAAAACAGATTCAGGTTCTTGGGACCTGAAGATCACAGGATTGTCTGATGCTGTATTGGGATGTATCAATCTATCAGTAAATCATTCACAGGTATCAATCCTTTTGAAATTTAAAATGATTAGTTCTGTTAACTACCATGGTCGTTCTGTCC